AATTGTGATCCAAACTTGATAAATTGACATATATTAGTTCATAATGTTGATATGGATAAAAAATTATGAAGTTTGACTGCAAATTGACCATAATTGACTTTTCCCTAATACAGTTGATTTTAGGTCAACTAGTCAACTGACTGAGCAAAAATGCGATCCAAAGCTTGAAACTTGACATGAGCAATCTTGGAGATCCAAAGTGATCCATGAAAGTCATATAAGGAATTGGAAGTTCAATTATCTTTGTACAAACTCAAACTCTAATTTTGAGTTGTCGTTTGAGGAGGTGTCTTGAGCTGATCAAACCTTGTGTAGTCTTGAATCAATGGAGATCTTATGAGAGATTTCTTGAGAAATGAGAGGGCAAATTTTGGGGTACAACACTTACTTTTTCCTTTTTCAAACCCCCTTCTTTGAACTTCGAGTGCATCATCCTCCGTCCTTTCTACATGGCAAGATTAATAATTTTATTATGTTTAGTTTTCTCAAATTGTAGTTCTATATTAAAAGTGTAAGTTTTTTTATGAAAGTTTTCTCTTTTTCATTTTCTTAACACTTTTTTAATTTTTTTAATTTTTAAGGAAGCAAATCTATTGAAACAAAGATGAACATATAGTTTTCTCTGGCTGTAGATCTATATTAAAAATATTAGCTTTAACTTAAAAATGTTCTCTTTTTCATCTTTTTAACAGTTTTTTTCACTTCTTTTATTTTTTCAGGTCATAAACCTACTGAAACAAAAATGACCAAAAATGAACACAGATGAACACATATGATTGTTTTAGTATGGTCTGTGTATAAATTAACATTTTTATAAACATACATTTAGATCTAAAATATTTGACATTTATGTTTGGTATATTACAGTATAACCCTTTTGATTAAAAGTTTTAATTGGACTAATTGCAAGGGTAAAATCGATTTATCAACTACTAAATCTCTTTATATTGATTTGGTATTAAATGCATCTGAGGTGACACATCCATATTTTTTATTGATATTTTATAATTATTTTTTCCAAACAACCTTTCAATTTTCTATCATTAATACACCCTTTTAACAATTTTGTTTACCATTACTAATTGCAAAACACGTAAATTGTGCAGCATTGAAAAACAACATTCCATTTTTTAAAAGTAATTAATTGTACTGCAATTCAAAAGACACATTGAATATTAAAAAGTCATTGATATTGTATTCCCAATGGAACTTTTGAAAAGAAAGATCACACGGGAACCATACAACAACTTTGTTTCTTCTTTAAAAAAATCATCAAACTAAATAGCTCAAAAACAACACCAAACAGTATTCAACAATCTCATAACTATTTGCTTCAACACTGCTGTTTCTTTTTTTCTATTTCTGGTCAACCACCACGAACTTCATCCCACGAGATCCGCCACAAACCACTACGCCAAAACACAAAACCACGTCGATCCAAACGCCGACTTCAAAAGTGCAGCTGTTGCAAACCACCTCAGAATCAGCTCCGGCAAGACTTCCCTTCGGCAACTCAAATCTCATCACCGACAACTTCTCCATTCGTTTCCATTAAAACCACCACAGTGACCATTTTGGATCACCGATCCAATTCACACCACCATTTTCCAGTTTTGGTATTTAAACTTATTCTCTGACCTTTTTTTTACTGTTTATGCGACGTATTTGAGTTTTGTTTTGCTATGTGAATCTGATAGAGATAAGGATTGAAATTCAGTAATTAAATTTAATCTCTCTGTTATAAATTCACATATTTTTATCGGTAAGTGTACAAATCTCTTATGTGTTTAAACACAACTTATAATTTTACTCCAAACCTCGATGTAATTTAAGTGTTCGATGAAATGTCTATGCTGATGATAGGATTTTCAAATTGCCAGCAAATAAAGAAAAAAATGCACCCTCAAAAGCAACAAACTTCATTTTTTGAGTTGTTAACAACACAAAAGAAAAAAGGGTAAGTTAAACCAAAATAGAAGTATTGATTGTTTTTAATGAACTTTAACATCAACTGAGTCACTGATTTTTTCACTTTTTCTCTTTTGTTCTGTTTTAGGTTTTGTTGATGTCACTCAAAGCTGGTAGTTTGGGCAAGAAAATTAGTTTTAGCTCTCTTTGGTTTTGTTTGTACTTGATACGATGCAAACATCATGTGAATTTATAAATGAATATTCATTTTAGTTTTTGTTTTCAATTATCATGAATGTAGGACTTGATTATCTATAAGCTTTGGATGAGTGACATCATATTACCATCATGGTTTTATAATGGAAGATCACATCATTACTCAAATAAAGATTATGTATGTATGTCTTATCTTTTTTAATTAAACCAAATTGTTTTTCTATTCTTTCCCATGAATTCTACATTTTTTTCCGATTTGCATTCAACAAAAGAAAAAACAGGTTCATTTAGCAGTTGGTTGACATTCACTCATTTTGTAAAGCATTTTCAATTTTTTTCACATGAAATTAGAGATGCAGAAGATGGAAGGACCAACGCTCACATTGAGAAGGAGTTTTTCCAGATGCTAATTGTTATGATGTGTGGGGTTACATGCTGAGAAAACAATGTAATTCAATATATGTTTGAAGGTAATCTATCTCACATTTCAAGTTGTTCCTTTCTTTGTATTACAGTCAGGATCAACTAATATATTTGTGTGACGTACAAATGCTGAAATTTTTCCAATGATATTCAGAAAGGAGGTGTGAGTGGTGTTTCAAGAAGACCTGAAATTGTCAAAATAGGAGATTTTTCTCGCGAGCCTGTAAACAGAGAAACTAGATTAGATACAAATTGCAATGACATAAAATCCCGTATCCCACTTCTAGAATCAGAGCTATCCACAGTATTGTACTCATTGAGGTTAAACATCAACGATGTTACAATGTTGACGGTAAGTCTTAAATGTTACAGTATAATGAACTAATAATAGGGCGTTCATGTAACTTACTCCAATAATAAGTCAAGAAATAGAACATGATTCACACACTGCCTGAGAGTCTCATGTACCAATTATCTTTATATTTTCACGATGGATGGGTGATTTTATTTTTTTAATGATAGAAAAAAAATAGATATCAGAATTTGTCATCACTTATCTTTGTTAGGGCACATATTCTATGAATGAGAAAAATTGGTACTTTAGGATATTTTACAATGTGTGTTATTTAATTGGTTAAGGAGTAAAGGAGTAGCTACTAGCTACCACAAATGTATGGTTGCTCACCGTAAAGAAACCAGATCCTAGAAGAATGTTCACTTTTTATCGAAAAGTTTTTCTTTCTTTGTCAAAATCGCTTTGAAGGCTTCCCTTCAGAAACTCTTAAAACAATTATTGATTTGTCTGCTATATATTCTATAATATGAGTATAAGGAAACTTCTGATAATCTTGAAAAAAAAATTTGATGCTTGGGAATTTTAGGAGACTGGAATCATGAATGCTCAAGACAGACTATGCTTATTGCGTTCTAAGTTGACAGTGTTAGAAGGAAAGATGACATTGACAATAATGTATCATCACAACAATTAAATAATTTCTTACACCAACACACAAACAAAAAACTAATATTAGATACTATATTTCTAAATAATTCTTAACATTGAAACTTATATTAATATTAGATACTATATTTCTAAATACGCTTAAAACTATTAATTACCATTTATTTTTAAAAATCGAAGAAAAAATATGTTATTAAAACATTATTAATATTATTATATTATTCAAACAATAATAAATGTTTAGTTTTTGAAATAATTCGTTTTAAAAAATGGTAATCATGAAAAAATTATGATAATAGATAAAAACTGATAGATATAAAAAAAGAGTTTAACGGATATGCAGTGTCATCCCATAGAAATCTATTAGTTTGACATGTCATTAAATTTTTTAAAAAATAAAATAGTGATTTAATTAGATACATAGTTGTGATTAGTTGACCGTGTAAATTTATTTTACACTGTCACTATTTTACACTGTTAGTGCATCACTCATTTTCTCACGATTCCAAAGTTTTTAATTACATTGCAATATATATTCATATGTCTCATACACGAGTTTTAATTAAGGAATAAATTGATACAATACTGTTATATTTGAACATTTTTAAAATGGAAATTTTTTATATATAAGTTCACTAATTTGATGTGTCATAATCAATTACTAAAAGTATGAATAATTTAGTTTTTCATTTTGAAAACACATGAATAAGTTCACTATTTTTCATTTTAAAATATGAATAATTTAGTTTTTCATTATAAAAACATATGAATGATTTAGTTTTTCAATTTAAAATATTTTTTTTACAAAAAATAAATTTATAGTTGTCTTCTTTATCTAAGAGATGTCTTTTTATTTTCCAATTTAACAGTGATACATTGTTCATCATAATGAAGGTCTTTCTAGAGATAGATTCATGAGTACATGTGAACGTATCTATGAGATATTAATTGTATATTGTTCTTTTTAATCTTTATCTTTAAAAAAAAATTGGTGATGTTTTATATTAATTCACTATATAATTTATTTTTGATTAAATTGTAGAATATTTTTAACAAAATCACATTAACATTGACGACTTAATATTTTATTGGTCAAGTATATTCATCTAAAAATTCTTTTTTATTTCTCAATTTAACAATGGTACACAATTCATCGTAATGAAGGTAGATCCACGGGTATATGTGAAAGAATATGTGAGATGTCAGTTGTAAATTATTTATTTTAATGTCTATCTCTAAAAAAAATTTATTATTGTTTATATAATTGAAGTTAGAGAATATATATACGATTTATTACAAATACAAATCAATATTTAAAAATTAGTGTATATTATTAGTTTATATTATTAATACAATATCAACCAATTGAAAAATAAACATCTAATATGATTTCAAACGGGACGAGATGCCATAAGTTTCTTATTTTGAGGTTAAATTAACAAAGTTGTTCACAATTTCGCCATTATTGTCTATCTTCAAAGTTGAAGAAGCAATGTTTCTGTTGAGATTAAGGTACGCTCTCTCTCTTCAGTCTTCCAACTTGTTTGTTATTCGATTCTTCTCTCACAGTCACAACCCTGTTGCTGTTGCTGTTGATGATGCTGTTTTCTCATTCAATCGCATGCTCAATACAAACCCTACCCCTCCCATCTTTGAATTCGGTAAGATACTATCTTCCCTTGTTAAGATCCAACATTTTCAAACTGTTATTTCCCTTTCTCAACAAATGCAACTTCGACGAATTCGAACCGACATTGTTAATTTAAGCATCTTGATTAACTGTTTCTGTCACCTTCATCAAGTCAATTTTGTATTTTCTGTATTCGCCAACATTCTCAAGCTAGGTTTTCACCCTTATTGACATTGTAGCTGTGAACCTAATATTCACAGCTACAATGTCATGATTGATGGATTATGTAAGAGTAGAATGGTGGATGAAGCTGTCAGTCTCTTCAAAGAAATGCATTTGAAAAACATGGCTCCTAATACTATAACATACAATTCGCTTATTGATGGACTTTGCAAATCGGGGAGAATTTGTGATGTTTGGGATCTGATAGATGAGATGCATGATAGAGGTCAACCATTTGACGTGTTCACCTACAATATCTTATTAGATGCTTTGTGCAAAAGCCATAATCTTGACAAGGCAATAACATTATTTACAAAGTTCAAACACCCGGGAATTAAGCCAAATGTGTACACATACACAATATTAATTGACGGTTTGTGCAAATGTGGAAGACTTAAGGACGCACAAGAGGTTTTTAGGATACTTCTGTCGAATGGCTATCATTTAATTGTTATGTCGTACACTGCAATGATTAATGGATTTTGTAAAGAGGGCTTGATTGATGAAGCATTGACCTTACTGTCAAAAATGGAAGACAACGGTTGCATTCCGAATGTTGTAACTTATGAAATTATTATTCGTGCTTTGTTCAAAAGTGGAAAGAATCATATGGCTGTGAAACTTCTCCGTGAAATGATTGATAAAGGTCTAATGTAAGAGTTAAATTAGGTGAGTTGCTTTCTAGTTACAATTTGTTTTGAATTTGAATACAACCATCCATCTTGATTTCTCTTTCATTGCAGATTTTGCTATTCAGGTGTCTGGAGATCGCCACAATGCTGTTTACATTCTCTTGATTCTGGTTATTATAAATTGCAAAGCTGGCTGAGTTCTAGTTTTATAGCTTCAAAGTTGATCTTTTTTTTTTTTTTGTCTTCTGTATTTGTTAGTTAAAATCAGGTAAAATATTATTTTTACAAACTTCATTTTCATTTGCAGCCTTGCCAATTTCTGAAATCCAGAGTCTATCATTATGTTTGGTTGCCAAAATAGCTATATGATTTTGTACAGAAGTTGTGTTGCATGTTTTATTTAGCTTTTGTAAAGCCCCTAATGATGCTTTGTACATGGATTAAGTATTATGGTAGGACCGTTAGTATCAAAATTCTTCAACCAGTGCTAAGCCTACCAAAGATTGAAGAGAAAATTTCTAATAAAGAAAGTAAGTAAATAACTAACTCTTCAAGTATTAATTTTTTTACTATTACCCTGTAGAATGTATTTAGAGATCACAAGTTATATACCTGACTAGGATGTGTAAGAACCGAGAAGAATTAAGGTTGCAACATGTAAGACATGTGCACTCCCTCTCCTGCACTCTCATTAAACATAAACCCTCTCATTCATGTGAATACTCTTCTGCACATTAAATACAATTCAACTACTCATCTCTGCATGACACTCCCTATCCACATCTTTTACATTTCTTCCTACCTAATATATAACTTAGACTCTTCAATTCATTGCTTTTCCCTCATGTTATACTTTCAACACCACCATGTCAATATCACTCCTTTTCCTCTACATTCTCTTCTTCCCTTCCTACACGACTCTCCCTAATCCCATTCTCCCAACACCATCATCTCATCCAACAACATTAACTATCCCTTCATTCCAAGAACAATCTTATGTTAAAGGCTGTCCTTTATCTCTCTCAAATGAACTTTTCAATGGCATAAAAAATGCATGTAGTTCGTCAAAACACAGTAAACTCGACCATAGCCGATGTTGTCCCGTTCTTGCAGCATGGTTGTATTCTTCCTACTCTGCCACCGCTCTTAGAAACCACCCATCACCGTCGTCATCATCATTTGACATGCCTTTAGTGCCAGATGATTCAGAAACATGTGTGGATGGTTTGGAAAAGGCTTTGAAAGTTAGAGGAATTGAGATTGTAAATCCAAATGAGAGTTGTGATTTGGTGTATTGTTATTGTGGAATTAGGCTGCATCCTTTTAACTGTCCTGATTCATTTTCTGTAACCAAAAGAGGGGAGCTTGTTGGAGATCAAAGTGTTAGAAAGTTGGAAAAGAGTTGTTTGAGTAGTGAAAAAAACGTCAATGGCTTTCAAGGTCTTGAAGGGTGTTCTAAGTGCTTGAATAGTCTCTATTTGGTGAGTTTTTACAAAGTTTAGAAAAATATATGTTTATATTCTAATGGGTATATTCTGTGTTCTTTGCTGGTTTTGGTCATGTTTGGATGAGCAACTTAATTAGCCGCTTAAAACATAAGTAGTATGCTTTATGAACTTTATTTGAGTTTATCTAATAGCACAAATATTTGTATTATCTTGTGATATGTTCTTAACTCAAGTTGTTTTTAAATTATTTTCATAACCTCACTACAATAGTTTATTTATAACTTTATAAAAATAGTTTAAATTATCTTGTGATATATAAAAAAAAAAGACAAGTGTTTGAATTTAAATAAACATATTTTTGGAATTTTGAGGAGTGTGAAGAAAATAATTTCACAATTAGTATATTGGGAAATGTTCTTTCCACTTTTAAGGGTGTGTCCCATATTTTTCGAAATTCAAATTTTTTTTTAATGTATTTAGAGATACATCTTCGGATGCACTTAAAGTCAAATTTAGTTTTGTCTTTTTGGTATCCATTCCATTTTAAATAAAATATGATTTAGAGATATGTCTCTGTATATTATTTGGATGTATTCGGAGATGCATATATGACATATTATTTGAAGTCATTTAAAGATACATGACAAGAGATGTTTCGAAGATACATATCTAGAAATCCCCTAGATTGAAATTTCAATGGTATATTTCAAGGCAAGCAACATTGTGGCAAGATTGAAATTTTTTTAGACCAACTCATATTTTAGGTGATTTTAGACCATAAAATAAAAAACTGATATACTAATTAATTCAAGCATGCATTAAAAGAGCTAGACATTAATTAAAGTAAAACCAGAATGTAAAATAAATATATAACTTGTTCAGAAAATACAAAAAATACAAATAAACATAAATTGTTGGGCCTGTCTAACTCTGTAGTTTCTCCTTCATATGTATTGTAAGGTATTTCATGAAGACCTCTCGTGGCCCCGTTAAGTAGAGGCCTGAGACTGACGACTATGAGAAACAGAATCAAATGGTTGGCAACCTCGGTGTTGTGAACCATCAAATGAGGTATCATCAACTTGTGGCCTTGTGGTCCTGCCAACTACCCTCTTACGTCGTACATACGAGATTTAGAACACACGACCGGGCCTAATTCTGCCAGGATTATTTTAGCCATCGCACATGCGTTAAAACCAGGTAGTCAAATAAAAAATTCAACCAAAATTCTGCTAGGTTCAAATCTAGAGATATGTCTCCAAAAATAGTTCAGACAGAATACAAAGATGCATCTCCGGACAAATCTGTGATCTTCAACCATGATAGAAACACTATTACTGCCGTAAACTCCTAACAAATTTCAATGCTTGTCCATTTAGGCTATCTATTTCGATTGCACGTTATCTAATGTTGCTTAAAAGACTTATGTTTCCTAAAATATTATTCAAAACACAAAAACTGAATGATTTTTAAAAAACTTACTAAATCTAAGTTGTGGACGAGAAGCTTGAATGGAGTGAGAAGATTTGCAACAAATGAAGTAGAATGGAGTGACAAGCTTAAATGACTGAGGAAGAGCACCAGTTAGGTTTTTTCAAGTTGAGTAAGTTTTCAAAAAATTAAAGAGAAAGAGGGAAGGTTATGGTGCGGGTTAATGTATGCAGAGATGCATCTCTGTACCACTTACTAAATTTTGAATTAATGATGTTTGTGGAGATTCATATCCAGATTGACCATAAACACATACATAGATGTATTTCCAGACTAAATTTTGGCAAACAAAGGGCTTCACATCAATTTGCACTAAGGAGTGTGTAAAAAAAGTTTGTCCGAAGATACATCTCCGAACGCTAGGGACAATTGAGACTTTTCACGTTGGTGAGGGAGCACCCCTAAGGGTGAAAAAAGTAACCCCATAAACTTTTTAGGTGTGTTTTGAAATTCTTGTTTTGACTGGATTGTAGTTCTATTGGACCTTCACTTTTTTTGAGGCTGTAATTTTCAAAAATATCCCTTTCACTTTTTTCATTAATAAATTATTGGAAAATTTTCTCTCGTGCGAAGAAATCTGGTTGGCAAAACAAAAAATCCGATATGTATTTTTACTACTATTTTAAAAAAATTCACTGCTTGACAAATTTTACCGGATTTTGAAATTACTGCTATAAAGTATAGGTGCACTGAATTTTTGAAAATTTTGATAGACTATCTTTTTAATAATTATTTTAAAAGATGAAGTTAATGAAGGTGCAAGAAACACAAGGAAATAGAGTTTCAATTGAGTTTCTAGAAATAAAATCTTTTCGAAACCAACCACAAGAAGTTAACACAAGAACAAAAATAAATGAACACAATTATTTTTATCATGATTCACTGTTAACGAAGTTAATCCTGTCTTTCCACCAAGGTGATTTTCCTTTCTCATTCAAGGACTTAATCCACTATAACCAAACTGATTATAATTCACAAAGACAAACTATTAATGTCTTCTTGAGAATCTTGACTAAATCCGTAGTCTCTCAAGGAATAACACCTCAGAGACAAACTGTCAATGATTTCTTGAGTAATCATACTAACACTTAGTCACTCAAGGAAAAATTAACTCATTATTGAATACAAGCTTTTGTATTTACAATATTGCTTCTCAAAAGCATATTACATAGAAATGAAGAACAAATAATAACACAACAATGTTAAGCAAGTTAGCGAACAATAGTTCCTTTCTAGCAAGTTAACGAACAAAATTTCCTTGCTTTACAAAAATTACAAAGTTATTTTGGCAGCATTTAACAATTTGAATTAGCTTGAGTTTCTTCAAAGTTGTTCAACGTTGTTCCCGATTCCAATTCTTCCAAGTCTTCCTTTTATAGGCAAAAAGAAATTTGTTGAAGGGTAGAATAGGAATACCAAAATTCTAGATGTCTTCTTG